CAGGTCAAAATGCATCAAAACAACGAAGCTAATACGACATAAAAACAATGCCATACTTGACGGAGTTTGGCTACATCGAGGCTCACTGCAGTAAAAAAGACATATGGAGGATCAGATAGCAGGTAAAGCACCGCATAGCTACAAACACTCACCCGGATTAGCATGACGGTCAGAAAGCTAAGCAAATAACCTGGAAAATGATTTAAGTCTTCGAGCTGCGATGTAAGACGCTGGTTCTGCTCTCCTGTTGAACCGCTGCTACGCTACAGGTAGTAATATCTGACAGACGGAGCGCCGCTTCTGCTCCACCTGGTAGTGACTCTCACACCGAACCTGCTTAAAGCTGCAGCATCTAACTTAAAAAAAATAAATTTTACATACGTATTAAAACTTTCGCTGTCCTAACATGAGACAGATAATCTCTAAAAAAATAATCGATCTCCTCCCAGTTCTGCATAATTACTCCGCTCAGTCAGAAACAGCCAATCAGAACTAGCAGTAATCAGCTAGCCGCCATGCTAACAGGAAGTTTTGAGTCAGTAACTCCGGATTGTTTGTTTGATTCTGAATGAAAATCTAGTTTTTCTTTACATTATTTGATACAGGCAGTGTTGTGAGATTTATTTGACTTATGCATAATTTATGGCACTGAGAGCCTTATTGTTAAATATTATTTTACTGATTGGAGGTTTTCAGTTGTCCTTTAGACTGAATAGCTGCTGGATTTTGGCTGCAATTATTTTGTAATTTATGTCTAGATTAGTTGAATTTGTTGCCAGATCATTTTTCCATTTTGCCAGATCATATAGCAGCATTTATATCTAAAGCGAAAAATTAACAGCCAATCCAGGTGATCGGCAAAGATCGGCCTCATGGGTGATTGGTATGGGAATCGGTAGCAAAAAACCTGATCGGAGCATCACTAATATTTGAGATAATACAAATTCAATAATTTTACTGAACTCTGATCCAGAACCTCACAGCATTCTGGGAAATATAGGCAGAGGAAAGGCTTTAGCAAAGTTAGCCAGCTAAGCTAGCTTTGTGGCATCAACTAGTTCACTCTTAAGTCGCCCAGCAACAAACTGTTGAGTAACTTGCGCAGTAGCAGATCCAGGTTTCGTCACTGAGCCCCATAACTGCATAGAAATAAAAAAACAGCATGGAAAAACCTGGAAAGGTCATGGCATCGGTGTAGCCGTTTTTCAGTTATTTAAAACAAAACAAAAATCAATATTTATTGATATTGACTGATATGAAACAGTTGTATGAGCTATATCACCTAGCCCTGCCTCTAGCAGACAGAAACACCTGGACTGTGTCTTTATGACCCCCCACCTGTCTGACCCCCTCACAGAGGCATGAAGGTGATCGAGAACCGGGCTCTGAAGGACGAGGAGAAGATGGAGCACCTGGAGGTCCAGCTGAGGGAGGCCAAGCTGATCGCTGAGGAGGCCGACCGTAAATATGAGGAGGTACCTGATTGGTCGGCTGGTAGTCACGTCCACACATGGTGACATCATCACATCAAACCCAGACTAGTTAACCCACAGTAAATCGGAGTTTTCACAACTTTGGCTCGATGATCCGAGATTCAAAGACTAGGAATGACCGAAAAGCAAAAAAATCTAAATTTGACCTGGAACGACGTGAAGGTGATCAAATCACACCAACCGGAGCAGCCACTATTCGTCAGCAGCGGTTGAGGCTCCACCGTGGAGCAGATCCTCGTTTCATGTTTTGGAGTGATGTAACTTCAAACTCCAGCTCAGCTACGAGGTGAAGTTTTACCAGCGACGCGTCGGGAGCTGCAGACCGGCAGCGGGCCTTGCTGCCTCTAAAGCCGGCGCTCAGAGCTGAGCTGCTCTGAATGCTGCAGCAGCTAAAGTAGGTTAAATAACACCAGCTGCAGCGCCCAGCTCCGCTGCAGTGATGGATATTATTTTATGGCGCTGTTTTCTGTTTTTAAAAAGTGATCCATAGAGCAATCGTTAATGTGTGGAGGTCGGTTAGAGTTCCCCAAAACTGTACTCCAATCAGAGCAGCATACCGTAAACACGTTTAATTAAGCAAGTGTAAAAAGTATTTGGTAAACTGCTCAAGTACTGAGTAACTGATCATAGCACCTGATTTAATATTCAAAATGTCCTCAGAAGTATTTACTGTGAATTTGTTAATGATTTGTTATTTAAATTATCATTATTTTGGCTGATATTATTGTACATTAAATAAGTAAATAATCAAACCAATATAGTCGACTAAAACCACAATAATAATCTTTATCATAGCAAAATGTTCTGCACCATATCAAGCTCAGGAGATAATGGAGGGATGAAGAGTCTCTGATTTCTGGTTCTTTAGGTTCTGACGGGTCTGCAGTTCCTCTCCTGATCCATTCTGTCTGGTTTCATACTGCGCCACTGACACATTTTTAAAATTCCCTGTGTTCATCCTGAGTAACATTACTGTTGTATCGGTTCAATACGGGACGCAACATTTAACAGCCAAATGCGGGACGGGTGGCAACCCTATGTAGAACGGTTCTGGTAACTAAATGAAACCTTCTTAGAGCAGCGCGCCACAGCAAAGGGAAAATAACTCAGAAAAACCGTCAAAGAACAACTCAAAACCACTCGTATCCTCCTCCCCCCACTTTCCGTGTCGGCTAGCTACACGCAGACTCGTTGCCATAGCAACAAACAGCTCCTCTATATGTATGAGGATCCAACACCATAAAACCCACAAACGTTTCCAGGCTTGATGTTTATTTGGGTTATAACATGATCTGAACACAGCGGTGGCTGATTAGCTCGTTTAACAGCTGCTCTGATCGGTGATCTGGCAGAGTTGGTGTGTTGGTACCGAAACACCGAATTTCGCTGCACATGGACGTTTATTTATTTAAACTTTTCAATGACCTGTGAAATATGATACCTTGAACCTTATCGAGTTGTCTTGGTGTTGACAATTAGTAGCAAACTAATATTCTAGTGAGAATAAAGCAGCGGCTTGTGAAACTGGAATGTCTTTGGATTTTACTGATATTTTATAAAAAACAAATATCCTGAGTCTTATGGATTTAGGATAAGCCCTGAAAATAGTGCTTCCTGTTTTTAACGTGAGGTTTTGGTCAAGATAAAGTCACAGTTAGACCGTCAGTAAGTGGGATAAAGTTTTACTGGTCAGTGAACCCATTGCAGCTTTCTCTCAGATCGACCTGGTGGCCGGTCTGTCAGTCAAACCTGTCGCTGCAGAGCAGGAGAGGAAAGGGGCTGATTTTTAGACATTTGCTGAAGTAGAAAAGATCAGAGGATGAGATCGGCTTCACCTAAATATTGACCGATCACCGATCTCCCAAAATTGTTGAAATCGGCATGAAATTGGCTCGATTTTATGTTGGTAGTAAAAATATTGTAGAGCTAGAAAAAAGGAAGCAAAAAGTAGTAAATTCAACTCTGCGATTCCAGTATAAAACTTGATGATGTTAAAAAATATATAAACAATTTACTTTTTTTTCCCCTCATTTTCCCTCCAACTTTCCTGAGACCCCTCTACTGCCCCCTGGTGGAATTACTAAAATGCATAAAAATCTGACCTTAGCATTCAGCAGTATTACTGCCTCATGGTTGATACTTAACATAAAACAATTTCACAATAAAAATACCCTATTTTATCATTCAAATCCTTTGAGTAAATTAAGAATTAGTCTTACATGAGCAAAAGCTAAAAGTTCTGTTTATATGGGGAATAATGGGCACATAGTGACTGGCATTAGCATGTAGGCTAGCTGAGCAAAACAAACATTTGAATTGCTCTCTAGGGTTTCACTGTCAAACATCACTGAGATATTTACACTTCAGATTTATAGTTTACATCTATTAGCTACTCACTCTATGAGCGTATATTTACTGCTGATGTCTTAACGGGATTTATTTATTTACTCTGTCGGCCATTTTACCTGTAACCATAGGTTGCTCGCAAGCTGGTGATGGTGGAGGGAGAACTGGAGAGGGCCGAGGACCGGGCCGAGCAGGCAGACAGGTGAAGCCACTCACAACCACAACCATCAGTCCAGACAAACGACTCGGAACCAAATCAGGGTCCAAATGCTGTGCTGAGTAGAGCTGAGTAGATCTGACCTTTGACCTTAGTGTGGTGCAACAGATTGAGCCAATAGGAACAGGCCTTATCATACTGAGCTGAAAGCAGCCAATCAGAGCAGCTCAGCGGGTTCTGTTGGTTCTGATGGTTTGGACTGCTACATGAAGCTCCGCCCTTGATCTTTGATGTCACACTGATGATGATGTCACTCAGACTAACATCCTCCATGTATTTGTACCTGTTTGTTCTCATGGAAACCACTGCATGTGTTGCTGCATCCCCACCTGTCTGTCTGACTCCTCTTTGCTCTGCCATCTGTCTCTTCATTTGTCCTCACCTGTCTCACCACATTACCTGTCTCTCGCTCGCCCATCTCTCTTTCTCTCTCGGCCATCTCTCAGTAAGGTTTGGAGGCTGGAGGAGCAGCTGAGGGGTTTCGACCAATCACTGAAGAGCCTGCAGGCGTCTGAAGACAAGGTACTGCAGGTCATGTGACCTCTCACCTGTCGGTCAGAGCGGGGAAGCTCCTCCTCCTCGCCTCCTGTTGCCTCCATGACCTCTGACCTTTACCTGCGCTTCAGCCCCTCCTCCACCCACTGCGCGCTCTAACACACACACACACACACACACCTTCCGGCAGGCCACGCCCACACCTGTTTGACGCATGTGTTCTCTGCAGTAAGTGTCGGCTGGTGGAGGAGGAGCTGAAAACCGTGTTCACCAGCGCCAAGTCTCTGGAGGCGCAGGCGGAGAAGGTAGGAGGGGGGAGGAGCCTGATCACTGATCAGTTCATCGATAACCTCACCTGGAGGAGGTGGAGGTGTGTTCAGTGGCGGCCAGAAAGTCAGACGTTTCAGTCTCCAGCTAACACTAATGACGGATAGAGTTGCTGGGAGGAGAGGTTAAACTGATCCGCTGACTCACCTGAGCTCCGACACCTGAACAGGTGAGCTCTGATTGGATGTTGTCTCTGTCTCACAGTACTCCAACAAGGAGGACCGCTACGAGGAAGAGATAAAAAATCTCAGCAACAAGCTGAAGGAGGTGAGCCACATTTCAGCAGTTATCTTCCTATTAGTTTAGTCAGTTAGCCTCCTCAGAACTTCCTGTTAGCCTCCTCAGAACTTCCTGTGTTCCAGGCGGAGACCAGAGCCGAGTTTGCCGAGCGTACGGTGGCCAAACTGGAGAAAACTATTGATGGCCTGGAAGGTGAGACTGGTCTGAGTGTTTTGGTAGTAATCACTAATCAACAATCAATCAAATCAAATTAAGTAACTAATTGNACCTGTTTTGTTTTTTTCTTGGAAAAAGTTTTAAAAACAAGTTTTTGTCTAATTTAAGGTGAATTCATGGTTCCTTTTTTCCATATAATGTAACTGGTATTGCTTATGATTAAAAAAATTATAATTATGTGGTGATCGGTATCGGTGATCGGCCCTCATGGGTGATCGGAATTGGAATCGGCAGGAAAAAACCTGATCGGCACATCCCTAATATATATATATTTATTTATATATATGACAAAGAGAAGGCCACCACCCTATGATCATCCTGATTTTTACTCTTACAAATTTTAATAATTACAGCCTTGATTGCAAACACAAATATCTTTACAATGCAAGATGAAAGCCCAGATGTTCTGTTTTGAATGACATATCACTGCTTTGAGGCAGATCTCAGGTGATGCAAGAAGCCTGCAAGGGATTATACCGATCTGAAATGGAAACCCTGGTGCATAAACACAGCAGAATTTGTCCAATCTGTTATGCTACAAAGTCACATATTTAAAATAAAATTTGTAAATCTAATGTAAATTTCAGAAAAGATGTAGCGTAACTTTTTTTATTCTCAGGAGTTTTTAGTGTTATTAGGTACATTTTGGGATCAATTAAAGCAAAACCTTTTTGATCAGCTATGAGGGAAACCTTTCATTATGATATTGTGTACATACAAAGAAGCCTCAATAACACTTTGTTGGAAAATGTTGAACAATGGGCTTGATCTGCTAAAATGAACAACTTCTTTTTCTAGCATGCGCAAGAAAAAAAAAACTGTATATATGATGTGTTGCAAAAACCTTAGCTCACTAAGACCTTCTGAGGAAAACCTAAAAGATGATGGTCAGGATAAAGTCAGTCAAAATAAGTCAACTGGAATATAGTTCTCAGGGTTAAAAATAATGCTAAAGAAAGGCTGTATTTTTTATTTTTGTTTCTTTGCATCCGAGTTTGCTTAGAAAATTATTGGCTGTTTTTTTGGTTCATGCCAGAGTTACTCAAGTATACTTATTTTGACTTTACTTTGGAGCCCTCTTTTATTTTCATCCAGTATTATCAAGACCAATCATGTCTGCTGATTTTTCAAGTTTCATATGCATTTAACCAGACAACTTGTCTCTTGAAAGCTTTTGTACATGTATCGATACAAATAATATTTATACATTTTCCCTGAAAGAAAAATGAACAACCCTTGGAAAACTAACATATAGGTATTTGTTTCCACTTGTATTCAGCATGTGATCATATGGTGGGATGCTCTGACTTATTTCAAGTCCATTTTGTCTTTTGAAAGAGTTTACAAATACAAATATGTTATTGCTTTTAGAAGGGTTAAACCAAACTAATCATTCAAGAGAAATTCTAAAGTATATTTTTTTAAGCTGGAAATAAGACATTTGAGTAGGACTTCTCTCCACTGATTTCATATATTGCACTGATTAATAGAAATGACTTGGAAAAAGTTCAGTACATCCTTATCAGTAGTGCATTTCAGTTCTGTAGCCTACTCCTTACTTTCACACCTAATATGAAATCTCAGTCTGTCTCTTCCGTCGCACCTTGCTAGGGCATTGCAGTGACTGCAGAAATGGGTGCACCAATGTGTGCTGGAAAATTCTGCAAATTCAACTAACAGCAAAATGTAAATGATTAAATTGACCCATAAATCCAAAGCAGAGAAGATACTATCCCTAGCTCCTGCATTAAATCAGCAAAGATGCACATTACGCAGACAACTGGTTATGTACATGTGAAAGTATGAAGTCACATTCCTAAACTAAACACCGCAAGAACTCTTTATCCCTTGCAAAATTCTAAAATATTAAATCCTGTGGGTTCTGAAATTCTTATCACAAGAAAATTTACCAAGTCGGACAGACACAACTTTATAGAAAAGCTCCAAAAGCATTTGATCTCCTGTACCCCAGAATATTATCTACTGGATCAAAGTAAAGTTTTTACAATTAAAAAAAGCTCAATGTTATTTTTTTTGGCACAACCAGTTAAGTTGTGTGTTTAAAAATGTGCTGTCATTTCATACAATAACTAGACAGATTTGAGTAACTATTTTCTTAGGCAGAGAAGACTGAATCTATGTATAGACAACTTCACCCTATTCAATCTGCAGGAAGGTTCATGGCTCAGTCTCCAAGCCTCTCTCTAATCTCCCTGTAATACAGCTTGAGTCATGATAAAACAACTCTGATGGAGGAAAATCCTGTTATCAAGGGTGGGGGCAACAGCTACCATCGTTACTTGTGGTAGACAGGCTCCAAAAATTAACTGGACTTTGGATGTACGATTAAGTATATCAGAGGGGTTTCTGAGGGCAAACACATGCATTCTACATATTTTACGAGACTGTGTGAGTACTTTTACATGTGCAAGTGTGTGTATATATATATATATATATATATATATATATATATATATACACCACGTTTCTTTTTTTCTTTTTCCACTCACCATTTATCCGTTTGTCACTTTGAGCGCACAAACACATCTCACATACAAAACACGTCAAGCTCAGAAAAACACATGCCGAGTTCACTGAGGTTGTCTGCTAATGGAAATACATTTTAGCTATTGCCACATCTCATCATTTGTATTACGTTCTTCATTAAAATGTGACATCTCTGACAGGAGAAATACAGATTTCATAGGCTTTTGTTCCAAGCCTCGTGTTTTAGAAGGATACATTAGGCTGTTTATGAGAAATGCTATTTCTCCTTTATCCCATTTCATACTGGTCTCTCTCACCCTCGGATTTTGTCAGACAAGATACAAGCAAAACTTTGTGTATTTTTTTTTTCCTTCTAGTAAGAAAACATACCGTTTTAGTAATTTTACACACAGCTGATTTTAATTATTTTTCATATGAAGTAAGCACACATTTCAGAACTATGGCTTTGGAGAACATTTATTGTCCAGAAATAGTTTAAAGACAACAAGGAGGATGTTTTGGAGTAGACAGTTTGTGACAGAACTTGAAAGAAAATGTGTAGCTTGATAAAACTGTTTTTCATGGTATTTTAAATTTTACTCCTGTGAAGTACTCCTAAAATAAAAAATAAAAAATAAAAAAGGAGGGGTGGGTGTAAAGAAACAGAAAGTCAGAGCAACTACAATGACTCTTTGACCAGTATTAGTAACTGGAGGCTGCTTGGCAGCCTCTGATTATCCTCAGGTTCTGACAGTCACTGACAATGGCTGAAGGCCAGCTAATTAGCCTTTGGCCCATATAAAGTAGCACTTTGGCTGGTTTTGTTGTGGTGTGGTTATCTACAAAAACTGGTGTGAAATCCATGCTTGATGTGTCAAGAGGCTGTTAGACGTTGTTATGCAGCCTGACACCAGTGCTGATCTAAGACAGGGAAAATAAGGAGGTGCACACAAAGGAAAGAAGACAACGATATACAGTACGTTATTCAGTGGGGTTCTCTGTTAGTTTTACACAATAAAAGTAAATAACATATTTCTGTTTATTTCTAGAGACAAATCGACATTTTGTCACGTGTTGAAAGAACTACGATTCGATGCAGGATGGTTTTGAGAATTTAACATGCACAAAGGAATCTGAGTAAGATACTTTAAACCATTTGATGCACAACAGAATAAAAAGCAGCTTACATGAAACATAATTGTATCATTTGAGATTATTTTTTTCCCTTTACAGTAATCCCAGATCAAATAATGCAATCTGTTGTGCTTGTATGCTTGTTTTTGATTGAGAGTCCTCCAAATGAAAATGTGTCACCTCGTCCATAATCCTTGACAAGGGAGTATATTAAATGTTAATCCCTCACTATTAGGAATGGTGACAACTGGAGAATGGTAGACTGGATGAGAGAAGGAAGAAAGGGTTTGGAGCTGGAGAAGAATAGAACGAGGTATGTCACAGTAAACACAAAGATAAGAAGGCAATAAAGGCTTGAGATGACAGGTTTTTTTTCTTCTGGTCCTTAAGAACACACCCACAGACACACAAATTGTGTTATTACCTTCCTCTTATGACTACATCCACCAAGGATGTGTAAGATTAGTCTTGGATCAGTGCTCAGTGTTGTTACCTTCTGTGGTCAATTTGTATTCACTCAACAGTAGTCTTACAGGTAACAGCAGAGTAGAAAAACAATTAGAGCCATGAAAAGCTGATAGCTTGGGGCTCTCCAGGGCAGCTATGCCATTACTGAGTTATTAGACACTGAGGGTTGGGAAGGAGTGTCTTAAATAAGGGCACAGGCAGAGGGAGAGGAGATAGAAATTAGGCTGGAAAATAAAGGGAGATGTAGTATATGTAAGCAAAAATGAAAAGCTGGAATGAGAGGGAATGTGAAAATAACAACAGTGTCACAAAACTGGTGACAAAGGAACATAAGAGAAACAAGGCATGTCTCACAGTGGGACACAGTGGAAACAAGAGCCGGATTGGGACATGGATTATACAAGCGAGCAAAGGGAGGCTGCACACCCGTGAATGCAGACAAAGAACAGCTGTTAAGCAACTTTGTTCAGTAAATCTCTGAGAGAGATGCACACAAGAGAGACAGGAGAGAACTTGAAGAAAATGTCTATATGTTACATGGAAGTCTTTTTGCAGCCAGAAGGATAATCACTGAGCCACCAAAAACCAAATATCTGCTTCTTCCAAATGTTTAGACTTGATATAGAATTCTTACATGATGGCTACATGTATGTAGCCGCACACATACTGCAGCTTCTGCAAACAGCAGTGCTGAAATTAATTTGCACATGGGTCTCACTTTTAATACAATGGAAGGTCTTCACTTCCTATTCAAGCCTGACTGCTCCACATGGAAGACAATCCACAAATTTGATTTGGTCTAATTTAGTTTGCTTTAATGCTTTGTCTTGTTTCAGTTTGGTTTCCTTTACGTTATAGACAACACATTCAAGCCAGGAGGAGAGTCTTAGAAGAACTGTCAACCATGCAATGCAGCTGTGCAACAACCTGTCATTACAAGAAAACTAGCGCTTTCCCGGCAGAACACAAGGAAGAAGGTGTGAGCACCACATAGACGATGGTGATTAACAGTGCCAAGATCATCCTCCTCTTATTGGTTGATTCTGAGCAAGCGGTGCATTTCTGTCGATAGCAGTAGGACCACAGGGAAGAGGCTGAAGAGCTAGATTTCTTCACAATGTATTGGTCTCAAATTATACTGTCATAGAACAGTGAAAGTTTTAAGACAATGTAAAAAAAAAAACAAAAAAAAAAACATACTTTTATACAAATGTTGGACAGTTTATTGTCAAAAGGAACAACCAAGAATTTAGATTTTGTTTGGTGGCACGGAGAAAATGCAATAAGTTGCACAGAGCTAGTAGGTCACAAGCATTCCCTAACTCATGCAGGAACTGATCTAGCTTATATGCATGTAAAACAAAAGTAGGGCGGCAGATGGATGAATTTTGAGCTCCGCAAAACCCCTAGACAATGGCAGACAGGTCTTGTCTCCAACAGGAAATGAACTTATGAACTTAGCCTTCCCACATGCCATGAATTGTCATGTGTAAATTTCACTATATATGTCATGTTACTCAAACGCCATTCTGTAAATATAAGAAACTAGAACTGAATAGATGAGTAAATAATAAATCAAATCAATGTAATAAATACATGCAAATGAACATAAAACAATAGTAATGAACAAACATTTTTCCAACAAAAACTTACCCTGCAGCTTTTGACCAGTATATATATATATATATATTTTTTTTTTTTTTTTTTTTAAATTAACTTATAGAGCTCTACGTGGACAGGCTGTAGTATGTATTCTGCAAACATTGAAGTAGAGGCCTCTAGTGATCTGCCACACCAACCTTTTGGGCTTGAGGAGACCGATCTCTCCAAGCTGTCAACCCCTGTAAAGACTGCTCTTATTTCTGTAAAGTTTGGACTCTGTGAATACTTTTTGAAAGCAGTTAAACGGCTTATTTGCAAGATTTTTGGATGGTTCTTTTTTGTGGGGAACATTTCGACAAGTGGAGACCGCACTGGTGTTCATTGGCCATGGAATCTTAAAGTCTCAGTCTTGTCTCTAGGGAAATCCTGACAAAAGCTTACAGTAGCCCAATTTATTTTGACTCCCTTTTTATCTTATCTACTCTTATAAGACAAGTCAAAACAGCCTTCCTGGAAGACCTAACACTGAGACAAATGAGTTATGATAAAGTTCTTATGGGAGTGGTAATTGAGAACTAAAAGGTTCTGCAAAACAAAACAGGATTAAATGCACAACAAATAAATTTCTGGAGACAACAACCCTGCTTTTTTTAAAAAAAAAAAAAAAAAGAAAGAAATCTACGTAAAAATAGGGCGCAGCGTTTTTTGTTTGTTTTTTTTTTTCACTTTTGGGCTTCTATGTTTCATAAAGACCCTAGTTATGTCTATGACTTATACTGTGTTGTACTCTTGCTCCCTCCATCTTTTATTTTTCACTCTTTCAGTCCACCTGGGCCTGGCTATATCTGCGTTTTAATTGCCTGTGTTACAATCCCTGCAGTGAAATTCAGCACCTCGTTAAAGCTTTAGGCAAAACCTGATTCATTCAGCGAAGATCAGGCAATTAAAGGGATGTTGGCATGGTGTTCCTTTTGGCTGATTTATTGATTGGCTGACTGCGGTTGGCTCCGTCTTCCATCAAGGCTCTTTGCTCATGATGTCTCTCCAAAGTCCCATTTTTTGAGGCAAATTAAAATCCAGTGAGCTCGTGCTGTTGTGAGGTATTGACGGCTGCATTTTAGACTTTTGTTTATTCATTTAGCAGATAAGGAAATAATGAATTTAGCGTGTTTATAGAAAATAAATTAAAAAAACATAGATTGTAGATCATTTGAGAAATTATTATTTTGTCCTACAGCAACTGTCATACGAGTTGCGTACATGTACTCTGTCTGTGTAAGCTTCTAGGCTGCTGCTCGTTTTTCTAAAGGGCCTCTTAAGTGAGACTTCTCCCGGCTGACTGTTTTCATTTCATTACAATGCTACCATAGAGCAAGCATTTACATAGATGATGGAATGTCATCTTAATTTTGTTGAAAACTTGAAAATATTGAAGTACTGGCAACATCATCTAATGTTAACTTTAAGTTTTCAGCTCACAAAAGGGTGCCCGCTCTGACTTCATCACGTTTCTTTTATTCTTTTATTACTGGTGTAGGTTTAATCATCCTAGAATCTATGTAAGTTGCCATGCCAATTTGTGACTTAAAAAGTTGCAAAGAATAGCAGAATATGTGTTTGGGGATAAAATAAATAAATAAATTAAAAAAAACGAACCCGTGTTAAAAATGCAGTGTTTTTCTTTTTTCTGTCTGTAAGTGCAATGCTCGGTCTTTAATTTGAGCCGCACGCTGGCACAGATGATTAATGGACTTCCTATGCACTCAGATAGGTTCTCAAAGGTGATTTAAAGGTATAATAATCCTTGACGATATTGCTCTGTGGTTTCAGGGCCATTAAAATAACACCAAAGGTGTCAGAGGAACATAAACAGTTCATTTAAAACAGATTGCTGGTGTAGCATGGGACGGGGCCCGAGACCCTGGGGAGCTGTTGCAAAGGAGCCACTGGACGTTAGCACGGAGGAGAAATACAAAACATTTAGTGTGGCTCACTTCTCAGATTTCCTGGCTAATCCAGGTGATGCATGCAAATAGGTTTGTGAGCAGTTGATTACTTTACACCAACTATTCACTTTGGCTCTATGTGCACAACTAATACAAAATGACTGCTTAACTCGGTGTCTTTAACAGTTTTTAGAAACTCAAAAACTAAAAAAATGTTTATGTTAAAAATTTTATGAAGGTCTACACTAAGAACATGATAGCATTTGAACTGTCGCTGGAAAACCTGGAAAACCACAAGCTTTTAAAAAAAAAAAAACCATTGGGTGCTGAAAAAGTTGAAAAAAGAACATTTTGACTTGTAAATCTAAGCTTAACCTTATGCGAGTCATTTAACCTTTAAGCTTGGTTTATTTACTGAGACCAAGATATAAGTTAATTGTGAAAGGCATATGTAAACAAGCTGCAGGACATGAGAAGGAACCATATGCTCTAATGGCTAGATTTGAAAAAGTGACGACTGATTTGAGAGTTGCATGTTTTTTTGTGTGTTTTCTTCAGGGGCATAAAACAATCAGGAAACCTGGATGCTTTTGGTGTTTTATGAGTGTTTTAAGCAAGGCTATTTCATACAATAGAGACCACAGAAAGTAATAAAATCTTACACTTCTTTTCCTGCTTAGCTGCAACCATCCTCTAAAAACGGCCCAACTT